GGCAGGGCAAAGGCGGTCCCAGGGCCGCTTGTGCCCTGCCCCCCAGCTCTTAGCTCCCCCCTGGGTTTCTGATCACTGTCAGTGGCAGGGGGCTTCTTCCTGCTTTCCCTTCGCCTCCCTGTATTGTGCCTACATATGCAAATTAACTGCCATCTTGTTGGCAGTTAACTGCCATCTGAGTTGGCAGTTAATTTGCATATAGCCCTGATTAGCCAATGAAAAGGGTAGTGTCGTACGCCAATTACCATTTTTCTCTTTTATTAGTGTAGATGTCCTTTGGGAAAAAGGAAAATGATATCAGATGGAAGTCTGGATAGAAGACAAACTGATGAAAAGCAGGAGTAGTGATAACTACAAGAGTAAATAGATACATCTTTTTACATTATTTTAAAGTATTTGAAAAATAAGTGGTTGTTTAAGTAAAATAGTAAGAATGTATTGTAGAGCTTATTATATATGACAACAATAATAAAAGGGCTGGGTAAGAGGAAATGGCAGTACACTACTATAAGGTTCTTATACTATACATAAGTGATATATCACTTGAACATAGACTATGATTAAATAAAAATCCTATCTAATAAAAAAGGGAATATGCTAATTGGCCCTCACGCTGTCGCAAAGATGGCGGCGCCCACAGCCAATAAGGAGGGAATATGTAAATTGACTGCCCCACCCTCAAAGATGGTGGCGCCTAGTCCCCTCAGCCCCGCTGGGGCGGCCGCTCCACACGCCTGCCTCCTGAGTCCCTTAGTCCCCCCAGCCCCCCATCTGCCCAGGGCCAGCCCGAGGTGCAGGCAAGCCTCAGATGACGGCTGCCTTGCCGCCCAGGGCCAGCTGAGACTTGCGCTGCCGGCAACGGCAGCAGCAGAGGTGGGATGGGGCGTCGCCTTCCCTGATCGCTGGGTCGCCTCCCACCCCTGAGGGCTCCTGGAGTGTGAGAGGGGGCAGGCCAGGCTGAGGGACCCTCCTCCATCGGGCCTCTGGTGTATATTACAATCCCCAAATCATAGGCTCTCAACTCTGGCACTACTGATATTCTGTGAATCAATTCTTTGTTGTGGGAGGCTGCCCTGTGCACTGTATTTAGCAGCATCCCTGACCTCTAACCACAAGAAGTCAGTAGCACCCCCCAAGTTGTAAAAATAAAAAAAATGCTTTCAGACATTACCAAGTGTCCTCTGGGAAATAAATCAGACCCTGCTGAGAATCACATTTCTGAAGCAATCACTAAAGTAACAAAACAAAGTTATTGCTAATGAACTAAAAACAAAGGTAAAATGGAATCATAAAAAGTACTCAACTCAAAAGAAGGCAGAAGAGGAAAAAGGAACAAAGGACAGAAGAAACAAAGAGAAAACAGTAGCATAACAGAGTGTTACCTAACCATATCAAAAAAATAATATCAAATCTCAGTAAAATAGGAATAGAGGGGAACTTTCCTCAACTTGTCCCCTCTCACTACTATGTTTCAACATCATACATGAAGTTCTAGCAATGAGACCAAAAAAAAGGAAATAAGAGGTATAAAGATTGGGAAAAGACATAAAATTGTCTTTGTTTGCAAATGAAGTGATCATCTATGGAGAAAATCTGAAACAGACAAAAGACTCCTGGAACTACTATACCAAGGTTGCAGGATTCAAGGTTAATATACAAAAGTAAATTTCTTTCCTGTATACCAACAATGAACAAGTGGAATTTTAAATTAAAAACAATACCATTTACATTAGCAACACCCAAAATGAAATGTTTATGTATAAATCTAACAAAATAGATACAGTATCTATGAAGGAATATCATAAAATTCTGAAGAACAAAATCAAATAGAAGAATGAAGAGATAGTCTATATTCATGAATAGGAACACCAAAATTGTCAAGATGTCAGTTCTTCCCAACTTGATCTACATGGTGGGGCAAAAACAGGCTTCCAGTTGTATGTGAAAATTTAGTTTTGTATTATTATTTATTAATGACTAGAGGCCCGGTGAACAAAAATTTGTGCATTCGGGGGAAGGGGGGGTCCCTCAGCCTGGCCTGTGCCTTCTCGCAGTCTGGGACCCCTCGGGAGATAATGACCTGCTGGCTTAGGCCTGCTCCCAGGTGGCAGAGGGCAGGCCCAATCC